GTTGTCCCGTTTCCCAGACTGCCTTGGGGCACTGGGCTTCATGCCCCCGACATTCAGTGCATTTGGTGGGTACTGGGTTTCTGGCCTGCACTGTGACAGGGGACATGCATTTCCAACCTACAGTGGGGTACAGAATCCCTGCCTTAATTCAGATAGGAACTGTCTATTCCCTTTCTGCCCTGGGGCAATGCCCTGCTGCCTAGCCTGCACCTCTACTTCACATTGAATCTAGCCAGTGGCTGCTGTATCGCCAGGGTACCCTGGACCCTGTGTTCCTATAATGTGCCTGGGTCTGGTATGACAGTGCTTGGCCAGGTGGGTGGAGGGAGGGAAGGTGTGATGTGGGTCTGTGCCCCTCCCCCCAGTATAGAGCAAATGCTGGCCGCCAACCCGGGCAAGACCCCGATCAGCCTTCTGCAGGAGTATGGGACCAGAATAGGGAAGACGCCCGTGTACGACCTTCTCAAAGCCGAGGGCCAAGCCCACCAGCCTAATTTCACCTTCCGGGTCACCGTTGGCAACACCAGCTGCACTGGTGAGGAAGGCTTGGGCAGCCTGGCTGGGGTGTACATTCACAGGGCCCTATGGCTTTGCCTTTTGGGGTTTATTCACAGTCCTCTTTCCCAGGGCCAGTGAGGGAAAGAGAAATTTCAGGGGAGAATTCACCGACTGGATTGGGAGAACAGGCTGTGAGGAGGTAGAATAGGACTTGGGAGAGTTAGAGGAGAGAGTAGGACTGCCACAATGATCTGGCAGATTATCCTTGAGGAAGAAGTAGGAGGAGATAAACTGCAGTAAGGATTTGGGGTAGGGTGTGCACTCTGTGCTGGGCTAACCCAGGTGTTTGACCAAGTTGCCATTTAATCTTCACTCTAACTCAGTGACGTAGGTGGTAGATCTCTGTGTTGAATATAAGGAAAACGAGCCTCAAAGAGGTTAAATGATTGGTGCAAGTTCACACGACAGAGTGACAGAGCCCAGCTTTGATTCTAGAACCTACCCTCTTTCTCCTTTTTCAGCTAGCTCTACTTATTGAGGGAAAACAAAGTGCAGAGAAAGACCCTGTAACCAAAATGTTTGAACTTAAGACATTCTGCTTGGCATGGCTTTTGACTCCTGCCTGGGAGCTAGTAGATGGATAAGGGCCCTTCCTTCCAGCAGTTAGTGTAACACTTCTAGTCTTGGGCAGGAAGAGGTTGGTCCAAAGGGGTTAGTTTATTTCTTGTGGCTGTGAGGAGAGAGGCTGGATGTGCTGGTGGCTGCTCTTCTGTCCTCCTGGTGATCTCCAATATTGTTCCACCCCCTCTCTCAGGGCAGGGCCCCAGCAAGAAGGCAGCCAAGCACAAGGCAGCTGAGGTGGCCCTCAAACACCTCAAAGGGGGGAGCATGCTGGAGCCGGCCTTGGAGGACAGCAGGTGAGGGAGGAATAGCCGAGGCATCCTAGAGGTTCTTCCAGGAACCCAGGCCCCAGCCCCACTCTCTCTACCCAGTAGACCACCCTGCCTGGCCTCTTCCTGAGTGTTTGCTGTGGACCTGAGCAGAGTGCTTTCAGAGCTGCTGCAGTGAGGGATTCTGCAGGGAGTGGCCAGTCCCATGGAGGGATTGTGGCTGTGGTTTGGGCCTGGGTTAGGGAGGCAGAGGGGTGGAGGCTGAGCCTGAAGGGAATTGTGCCTCACCATGCCTTCTCTTTCTTCTCTTTCCCTCTTCCACACCCACGCTGGAGTTTGTTGCTTCTAGCATTCTCTGGTAGGAAGAGACCCCCTCTCCCTTTCCTCAGTCTTTTTGATTCACTCTTTTGACAGCAAACAATCCCAGAAGGAAGAGCTGTTGGTTGAACTTCCCTGAGCCTTTAGCTCAAGGGGGAGAGGTTCGCTTAGGGGATGGGCAGGTCAGGAGGACCTGGGTCCCCCACCCTCCATCCCTTCTACACACAAATGTGAATCAAAGGCTCCCTTCCCCTCGGGAAGTTCTTTTTCTCCCCTAGACTCTTCACTGCCTGAGGACGTTCCAGTTTTTACTGCTGCATCGGCTGCTACTCCTGTTCTGACTGCTGTCCCAACCAGGTATCTTGTGTACCCTAAATGCTTAAGGTGAGGGAGGAAGGGATCCTGACTTCCAGCGCCCAGCCTTTGGACCTAGGCTGGTCAGGGCATGAGGAAGTCTGAGAGTAAACACAGGATAGACTAGTTGGGACCAGAGCTTGAAGAATTTGTACTAGCTAGTAAGCTCTCGGGACAGGAAGTAATTTAGGATTTTTAAACAGCCATAATGGTGGTGTTGGACTCTGTTTAAGGGTCTCGCAGGCCCCATTTTTTTCTGGGTTGACCACATGATGATTCCATGTCTGAGTCCCATCAGTTACTTCCCAGGACTGGATATATAACCCCTCTTCCACTGGTGAGATGCTAAACTTACAGAATGGGAACGGTGCTGGGAATCAGAGGAGGCCTCAATGGTGGGAGGTGGAAGCAGACGAGAGCAGGAGGGAGGAAGGCTAGACATTTGGATAAACAGTTGCCTGCCTAGTGGGAAATAGGATAGAGCTTAGCCACAGAAGGAGCCATCTCCCTCAGCTTTGGTCCTGGGCCTTTTTCCTTCAGGAGCCCCCCCATGGAGGTGCAGTCCCCTGTCTCCCCTCAGCAGTCTGAGTGCAACCCTGTTGGTGCTCTGCAGGTGTGCCCCATCCTTATTTCTTGTGCATGTATGTCTTCCTTTGAACCAGGGTTGTGAGGAAAGCTTCTGTGTTTGGGAGGGGTGTTTGCCCTCTACTGGAGGCTTTTTCTAGCCCCCTTTATTCCTCATATAATCTACAGCCTGAAGCTCCCAGGGCAGGAGAGAGAATTATCAGCATGGATACGAAGGAGTCTTTTCTTACTCAACCTTTGTGCATCACTGTTTCTCTACCCCTTCCAAGGAGCTGGTGGTGCAGAAAGGCTGGCGATTGCCTGAGTACACAGTGACCCAGGAGTCTGGGCCAGCCCACCGCAAAGAGTTTACCATGACCTGCCGAGTGGAGCGTTTCATTGAGATTGGTAACTGGGCAGAAGGGGGTTCTTGAGCTACTATCCCCAGCACACCAGTCCTGGCCACTGGGCAGCTCTCAGCCTCATTGCACAACCCCAGCTTATCTTGCTTCTTAAGTCCTGGGCTCAGTGTCTTCCTCATAGCTTCTTGTACCCTATTCGTCCCTCTCTCTTTGGGTCAACCAATGAAGTACATAAGCAGGTCCTCAGCGCCTCTTTCCAGTTGACATCCCTGTGAGGGGACCCTCCAAGTATGCACTGGGTGGAAAGTATTGGCCCTGTTGGGAATGATAATCTGGCACCCTCTCCCCACATGCAGGCAGTGGCACTTCCAAAAAGCTGGCAAAGCGTAATGCAGCGGCCAAAATGCTGCTTCGAGTGCATACAGTGCCTCTGGATGCCCGCGATGGGAATGAGGCAGAGCCTGATGATGACCACTTCTCCATTGTGAGTGGCTTGTGTGGGCCAGGTGCTGTGGGCCTTCCTCCATGCCAGGGCATGGTACTAGGGACTTGGGTCTGTAACTCAGGAGTGAGCCTCTCCAGCCCAAGGCCTGCTCCTGCCTTATCTCCGGCCAGAACCAGGGTTCACGGTGCTCTCAGCCTCAACTTGTCCGCCAACCCAGTAAGTGCTGTGGGGGAGCTAGCCCAAGGCCCTGTGGGCTTCTGTTGCTGGAATGAGGAAGGCGCCCTGGCCATCTAGTCTAGGGGCTAGTAGTTGTGGGGACCACTAAGGGACTGATGGGGAGGTAAGATGGAACAAGCACTCTGGTCTTTCCTTTCCTTGGATTTTGAATGACCCACAGCTGCTGGCTACATCATTCTCATTGTCTCCACCTTGTCAGGGAGTGGGCTCCCGCCTGGATGGACTTCGGAACCGGGGCCCAGGCTGTACCTGGGATTCTCTGCGGAATTCCATGGGAGAGAAGATCCTGTCCCTTCGCGGCTGTTCCCTGGGCTCGCTTGGTGCCCTGGGCCCTGCCTGCTGCAGTGTCCTCAGTGAGCTCTCTGAGGAGCAAGCCTTCCATGTCAGCTACCTGGATATTGGTATGGCTTTTTGGGGGTCAGGAGTTGGGATTGGGAACCAGATCCGAGCAAACCTGGCTGGGTATAAGGGAGTTGGCAGGAAATGAAGAGAATGTAAAGGCACACCACTCTGGTTCTGCCTCAACACCCAGCACTGCCTCCTTCCTCTTTTTTGCAGAGGAGTTAAGCCTGAGTGGGCTCTGCCAGTGCCTGGTAGAACTATCCACACAGCCGGCCACTGTGTGTCATGGCTCTGCAACCACCCGGGAGGCTGCTCGTGGCGAGGCTGCTCGCCGTGCCCTGCAGTATCTCAAGATCATGGCAGGCAGCAAGTGAAGCCCCAGCTGGACTCACAGAGGTGCACCCTTTGCCCCCTGCTCTTCCTGACCCCTGGCCTGTGTATCTGTACCCAGCTCTGGTGCCCTCTGGAGGTGCCCTCTCTACCTCTGACACAGACTGCCTGCCTTGAGGCTGAGGAGAGCACAGGGCAAGGAACCAGGGACCATAGGGCCACAGCCTACCTGGGATCCCTCCTCATTTTATTGGTGACGATGAGTGGAAAGGAAATTGAGGCTCTCCCTGGGATCCCAGAATAAACATGCTGCTCCTTGGATTCTTAAACCTTGGTCTCTTTCCCCAAGTGCTGATGGCCGAGGATAATGGTTAGCACCAGATCATTTCCTGTGTGTCGTCTTTTTGCTCCTTGGTTTACCCTGTCTCTGCCCCCCAACACATCCTCCTGTTTCCTGGTGGCAGGAGGTGGTATGCAGTAATGTCTCGGAACCCCTGTCTGCTGCATTCCTGGTGAGTTTGTTTTGGTGGAGATGAAGGGGGCTCCCTCCCAGCCTGTTAATCATAGACACTTAGATTTAGAAGCCAGAGTCTTTATTTGGGGAAAACATGGCACTTTTGGGTATGGATCTTGCATGCAAACATATCAGGGCATGAAAAGTCACTTCTTCCCAAAGCGTTGGGGGGCAGCAAGGCTCCAGAACTGGGAGCTGAGCCCCTCCCCAGCCCGGGGACTCAGCCGTTCATTGCTCCAGGATCCCCGGGTATTTCTGCCAAACCTTAGAAGAGATTCATCCTCAGATGTAGGTCTTCCCAGTCACTGCCCTTCTGTAGCCCCATTCCCTTTTCCCTTCTTCTGCCCGTCTTTTCCATCTCCATCATGCCCAGCTGTCCCTTTCAGACTCACCTTTGGGGCTGAAATAGGAAGCCTGGGCTCCGGCCAGGTGTCTCTATGGCCTGGAGCAGGGAGCGCAAGAGTGACCTAGGGGTGTGGTGTCTGTTGTCTTCCTCCTGTGGCATGGGCATCAGGGGTGGAAGATGGGTAAATGCTTTAGACATTTAAGTCTCAAGGGGAAGGGAGTGGCTTACAAGGAAGTTGCAGGGGGCTGAGGAGCCATTTTCTCAGATGTGAGGACCCAGTGAAGACACTGGTAGCCTGAAAGGTATTTGAACCTGGAGTGCAAGTCTCAAGCTGGGGTAGAAGAAAATGGCGAAGGGGATAGGGGTGGAGGATCGCACTTACCACTAAGGTCCGGTCTCCTTTATCCTGGCTGCCTGGTCCTTCAGCATGGCCCCAGTCACTTACTAGCAGCAGAAACACCAGCAGCACGGCTGCCCGCCTGGAATCCATGCTACCATCCGCCTTCCTACAGCCACACCCGCCTCTTATACCTGCTGTCCCCCCATGTCTCCCGCCCACAGCTGCCTGAGGGGGAGTCTAGAGTAGGCAATGGAAATGCACGGTTCCATTAAGAGCCACCTGGGACCCCCTCCCGCGGCCCTCCTGGGACTCCCTGCTCTCAGCCTCCTGCCCCTAGCCCCTAAGCCTGGAGTTACAGATATTATTAGATGCATAAATCCTGTCTCCAGAGCTCAAGAAGAATCATTAATTGCAGATGCTTTGTCACAGTCAGGCCCTGGGGGGACTTATAAGAACCCCCCCAATCCCTCAACAGGTTGGAGAGCGCCAATTGATCACCTCCCCTCTTGTAACTTCTGGAATAAAACAGAAAGTGCTATCAGGAGGGGCTAGGTATTAAGTCCTGGAACAGAAGGTGAGAGGGAAAAGCCACAAACAACTGGGTGAGGGCGAGACTAGACTGGCCAAGATGACCCCCGCCTGTCCCTGGATGGCTTCAAATCTTTACAGATAGACCCCCATCTTCACTTGACAGTGCTGCTTAGGACCTGCGTCATCTTCCTCTGCAGCTGAAGCACTGCTGCCACCCTGTGGTCTCATTCCTTTAATGCCAGGTGTAGCCGTTTTCTTTCTCTAGAGTAAACGTCGAAATCAAACCCATAGCCATCAAGTCGGTTTAGACTCAGTGGCTCTATAGGACAGAGTAGAACTGCCCCATTGGGTTCCCTAGGCTGTAATCCTATGGAAACAGACCACCATGTCATTGTCCTGCAGAGTGGCTGGTGGTTTCGAGCCATCAGCCTTTTGGTGAGCAGGCTAGGGTTTTAACTACTGTGCCACTAGAACACCTTTTTCTGGAATAAAACTTTTGAAAGAAGTTTAGGAGGATAAACTTATGAGGATGGGATGGGGTGGGGTGGAGGTCCTCAGGCTCTGCCTCCAGAGTCTGAGTCATCTGGCAGCATACTGTCAGATTGGGTGACTTTGTTCTGCTTTAGGCAAACTCAGAACCACTACTCAGGAAGGGGTCCTTCAGTTTCCTTCTTAATACTGTCTACTTACACTATCTTTTCCTCAGCACCCTCACCAATGTGGTCCTCTAGCTTATTCTGGAGTCTTTGAATCAGCCTGACCTCAGGCAACCAATATAACCTCTCTAAACTTAAGTTTACTCACCTAAAACATGGGAACATTAAAAGGAATTACTTCCTAGGGCTATGGTGAGGATTAAATTACTTTTTGTCATTCATTCAGCACAGGATCTGTCATGGAGCGAGTGTCCTCACAATGTTAGCTGTGATTATCCTCACACACCCCAGTCCCGGGGAATTTATCGTTTCCTGAGAGTCTTCAGACAGTTTTATCTTTGTGCCAAGCTGGATTCAGTCTCCTGCTGAGACCACCAGACGTCTCAGTTTGTCCCACTGCATCACAGAAACATCTCTAATCTCTTTCATGTCTGAGACCACTTCATATGTTTGAAGACAATTCATTCTTCCATTCTCTTTTTTGCTCAAGGGGAAACATCCCCCTCTTTAAAGCATGGCACCTAGAAACCAATTTATACTGTTGTTGTTGTTATGTGCCTTTGAGTCGGACCTGACTCAGAGCGACCCCTCCTTGGGTTTCCGAGGCAGTATCACTATGAAAGTAGATTGCCCCATCTTCCTTCCCAGGAGTGGCTGGTGGGTTTGAACCGCCAGCCTTCTGGTTAGCAGTCAAGTGCCTTAGTAAGCACTATGCTACCAGAGCTCCCAATTTATACTTTAAGATTTGTTTATTAGGGCAGGTTTTGCTCTGGATGTGATGTTCTAGATACTATTTATTAATGCAGCCTAAGCTAAGGTGAGCCTTTTTGTAAGCTTGTCTCAAAGCTAGTGTCAAGCATGGAACTTGACACTTACCATCATTACATGACACCACATCTTGTAACCGACTCCCCCCCCAACTGACTGCTTCTTAAAAGGCAATATGGAGTCCATGCACAGACAGTTCTGGGACATATATGTTACATCACATCTTGTTCTTTTAACTTTTTGTGATATGGACCAAAGTTTAGAGCAAATTCATTTTCCATTCAGTAGTTCATACACATCTTGTTTCATGTCATGAACTGAAATCTCCACAGTGTAACAGTTCTCTTCTCACTTCGTCCCTGTGGTTACCTTTTCCCTGTGTTGTCCTTTCCTATGCATCCCTACCGTCTTAGCTTTCTGCCTGTGCCAGTGCTGCCTTTCTGATCTCCCATGGTTGATTGTTCTAAAGGGTACACCTCCTTGGTGTAACTGTTCATCTTGTAGGCCTACTGTTTGCCTGAAGTTAAGCCATGGGAGTGAGTTCATTTCCAGGCCTGAAGGGTGACTAGGGGCCATAGTCTTGGCAGTTTCACCAGTCTCCATCAGATCAGTAAACCTGGTCTTTTTTTTTTTTTAATGCTTTTGAGTATTGTTCCACATTTTTCTCTCACTCGTAACCACAATCTCCTGTTTTGATTCCTGTTTGAGTGGTTATTAACTGTTCTTTCTGACAGTGGTACAGAGGAGCAGGGTTGCAAGGATAGGTGAAGCATTGGAAAAAGTGGCTCGGGGGCAGACTGAAGTCCGCTTTAATCCTAGCTCTTGCACTTCCCTGACTTGGGTAAATGTCTTGGACTAAACCTCAGTTCATCATCACTAAAATTAGGCAACTACTGTTATCAAGAGGTTGTGAACAGAAAATGACTTAATACAGAAGAGCAGAGCAGGTACTCTAATGATCTCCACCCTGCTGCTCCTCTTGGTATTTCCCGATCACCAATTACAAGTGTGTCTGAACTGAAGCTGCATTAAGAAAGGGGCTGGTCTCATCACTTTTTAAATAATTTCTTTCCTACTGTGAAACCCTCAGAGGCACCTGCTACCTCTTTTGTCAGATTCTTCGGCCTGGCTCATGGTCCTCATTTGTCATGGTAATTGTAAAGGAATACGCAGATGCATCAAATTATTAGTGATTTCCCCTACACCTTTTTACTTCCCACAGTCCTTGGTTTTTCCTGTAAACTCTCTCTTACAGGCTTCTAAATACATTCCACCTCTCATTTCCAGAACCACCTCTTCCCAATATCCATAGAACTCAGAGCTTCACTTTTTGTTTATGTGTGCATTCCAGTCCTTGTCTCCTGTCAGGCTGGAAACTTCTTGAAGGTAGGTCTTGTTTTGTTGTTGTTGTTGGGAGGTGTGTAGGGACCAAACACTGAATGCTAAGAGGGCACTTTCCTTCAGACACTCTCCCATCCCCATAAAGCACACATTAGTTCTCTGCTGAGTGCTCCCCCAACACTGGGGAGCCTCTTGTCTCAGGGGCAGTGTGCAGAACTGAGCTCTGGCTCCATATCTTCTGTCATGCTACACAATTTACAGAAATCATCCACCTTATCTAAGTTGTATCTTCCCCGTATAAAAAGTAGAGATAGAAGATCCCACTCCTATCCTTAAAATAGAGGGAGGAAGATCACGACATGAAAGCCCAATGAGATCCTAGAAGGAGTGGGCAATGGGACTTGTGGAGAGTACTGAAGCATCAGACATAACCATGGTTCTCTCGATAGTTTAATGTTATATTTGCAGCATAAATAAGGCACAATATATGTCAGGGCAGGGGAGGGAGGGAGAAGGCCTGGCTAGGGGGATAACTGCTATGTGGCAAGGGGAAGGAAGGGACAGTCGGGGAGAATAGAGCGAAGCCCCTGCCTCAGCCCTGTCCCAGGAGATTGTGAGAGCCTGCTCACAGGGATCATGCGTTCTTGGGTGGAGGAGAGAAGGGAAAAGACGGTTTGTAACAAAATAGCTTGTAGCACTGCATCCTCCCACCCATCAAAGTCAACCACTGGGGACTTGGGAGACCCATACCCAAAGTTGAGTTCCTTGATGAGATAGAGGGATATTGCTACATGTCAAAGATATATAGATGAACAAAGATATAATCATAGATACACACTGCTTTCTTTTAAACAGATACTGTGTCAGGATGCTGCAGCCTCCACTGTTTGGGCTGGAGGTTCATCTCCTCCCTGCCTGAAGAGGGGTGTGTGTGTGTGTGTGTGTGTGTGTGTTACATGACAGCTAAAGCTCCAGCCAGTCCTTAATGTAATAAAGAACATGAAGAGACCAGTCTGTCAGGGAACGCTGGACCACCTCTGTCCAGACCAACCCAGGGACAGGTTTCAGGGATAAGACTGGAAAAAAGACAAACTTAGATTTTGAGATGAGTGATGTGGTTGGTTTATTTTAATGGGAATGGGGGGGGGGAGGCTGGAGGAAATGAAAAAATATGGTAGTGCTAAGACAGAGGATGGTGTTTAACATATCCTTAACACCCTGTAAGAATTCTCCTGCTTGTCCCTAAAGCAATGGTTCTCAAACTTTAGTGGGATTAAAATCACTTGGAGTGCTTGTTAAAACCTACTCTAAGAATTTCTGATTCAGTAGGTCTGGGATGGGCCTGATAATGTGCATTTCTCACAAGTTCCCAGATGATGGTGATGCTGCTGGTTCTGGACCACATTCAGAGAATCACTTCCCTAAGGTAAAACCAATGAAACTGGTGCTCAGAACCACTTTTTGCACCTAAAACATCACTCACCTGTAGCTAACACTGGTGAGAGAGATCCCTGTGTTACCAGCCCCCTACCCTCATTTAAAAAAAAAAAAAAAATTATAAGCCCTAGTAGCTACAAAGGAGCTCTGGTGGCGTAGTGCCTAAGGCCTTTGACTGCTAACCAGAAGGCTGGTGGTTCAAACCTACCAGCCACTCCTCAAAAGGAAGATTGGGCAATCTACTTCCACAGTGATACCACCTTGGAAACCCAAGGAGGGGTTCCAATGAGTCAGATTTTACTCATTGGCAGTGAGTTTTTTTTAAAAAAAGTAGCTACAATACAAACCTGTTCCTATAAAGGACACAAGCTACCTTAATCTGCCCTACTCTCCCTGACCCTTTTTTCATTCTGGGGTAGGACTTTACCCCAAGAGAGATGAATGAACTAGTGCAGAGGGTGGCAATGTGGGCAAGCAGCCACCTATGCCCATTCCTGCTGGGTCATCACATTGGGGTGGATGGGTAGGTATATATGTCTGTATGCACATCACATGCAAACAGAAAGAGTTATCAGTTCTATACTGTGAGAGGGATGATAAGGGTTGTGGAAAACTGTAGTGGGGTGGGGGGTCCTCTATCTGCCTTAGCATCCTTGCCTCACTTGTTCCCCCTCTCTTCCCCACTCAATCAAAAGTCTACAAAAAGCACAGCGTATCAAAAAGACCTACGTGAGATGGCTAGGAGAACTGGAATCAAAACAGACTGGTTATGAAACTAAAAAAAAAAACAAAAAACTACATTTCTTTCCTGTGTATATAATGTACAATATTTATGGAAAATAATGATTTTGGTATGAGAAGGAAGTTAATGAAAGAAAGGGGGGAATTTTGGTGGGGGAGAGCTGTCTCAGGCTAGCACCTTTAAGAAACTTTTCAGTATAGAGCAAGCGAGCCTCAGAAACCAGAGGAAGACTTTACTGGTATTTGCTTTAGTGGATCAGGCATGGTTGGTTAAGCACCTCATTTATCAGGCTGGGTGCTGCTGGGGGCAGTGAATCAAGAAAGGCGCCAAGAACAACAGAATGGGGATAGGGAAGGCAGCAAGGTGAAGTTCAGTTAGCCCTACTCCTCTTTTAGCACCACCCAGAGCATATGGTCTAGAGGTCAGGGCCAAGGAAAGGAGTAGAGGCTGAAAGCAGCACACTCGGGGTATACAACCAACAATGAAAGAGTAAGAAAAGGAAGTACTACTCTTTCTAGTCTTCCCTAGTAGTGTGGGAGGCTCTCTCAGACTTTTCAATTCTAAGCAAACTTTCTTTTAATGGAGTAAGGCAGAATTCTAGCAGATCAGACAACCTGGTTATTACCCCTTTCTCTATTGCTTTGGGTATCTAGTAACTGTTATCTTTGGAGCGAGATGGGAGGTGTGACTCCTATATTCACTCAGAAGCATCCTATGACATCTACACTCCCAGCTCCTTTCTGGAAGTTTCTCCCCTTAAGAATAGCCCTTACGAAGGACTAAGTGACACTCTCCATGAGGCTTGGTTCTGGTCTACATGAGTCTGGAAAGCAAAGATGAAGGAAAAATGATCACATGTCTGGTAGCAATAACAAGATAAGTGATGTCCTTCTTGACTATAGGAGATTTCAGGGTAAGCAATTGTTCTGTGTTCTTAGTGAGACCAAGGACTAACTAAAGGGCTGCCTGGGGGGTGGGGGGTAATGGCCTGTCCTTTCCTTGCTTCACTACTAAGGTTCTAGCAATGTCCCTCATTCAGGTTCCCAATACTAACTTCCCACTGATGAAAATGCAGTAAGGACTCAAGAGACTTAGATTTGAGGGGTAAGAAACTAAGCAAGACCTACATAAATTAGCCACCCATCACAGGGACAGACTGGGAGGACTCAAACTCCTTGAAGGCCAAGCAGTGAGGCAGGACATGTGTGCAGTGACAAACTGATTCTTAACTTGACTGAAGGAGGAACACTTGACTGAAAGAGTAACAAAAATAGTCAAGGGTCTTATGAAGGCTCCTTAGGAGCCATAAACTCAGTCAAGCTTTAGGGCAAGGCTGCTAGTGGGAAATCAAAGACAATAAAAAATTAAACAAAATTCTAAAGCAGGAGAAAATCCCAGGGAGCAGTTGTCTAAAAGGAAAAGTCCTGAGCTCAAGTTATGGCTGTGAATTTTCAAAGGCAAGTGAAGTCCCTGGAGGTGGTAACTTGCATCCTGACCATCTGTCATGACATTTGCTATTCTGAGTCACCTCAGGGGCTGTCCTTGGTGGCAGAGGATGAGAAAACTTGTTTTCTCTCCTTTTTCTTTATCAGGTGTGGCTTGTTCAGTACTGGATCTGAAAAGCAGGAGGGGAAATTTAAAACTAATGCAGCAGAACATGTCACCTGACTGGTTCACCAGTATATCATGTTGAGGAGATGGAAACCTTTTAGCTTAGAACACGTTCCCATTCTCCTATGGTAGCCATTTTTGGAAGACAAAATGGGGAAGGAAGCTGGTGGTTATCGTGTATTACGTTTGAGACAGAGGTAGGCAAGATGGAGAAAAGGACATTTTTGGCTTGGACAGATGGCAGAAGGTAGCTCCAGGACAACTGGAAGGTTTCACACTGAAGGGCTATTAAAGCTGACCTATCTATCCACAGGCCTCTGGCGTTGGCTTGCTTCCTATGGCTCTGGTAGAAATTGCATAGTTCAGAGCCAAGGGAGGATGAGCAGTTTTATGGGGAAGAAAGAAGGATAGAAGATAAATTTCTCCCCCTTTTCAGCAAGAATGGCTGGTAGTAGCAGTCACCAGTTTCCCAGGCAGGCCAGATCTTTCATTGAGTCCAGACTCCTTTGCTGCACTCCTCCTCTCCCCTACTTCCCCCCATCCAATGTTACTGTCAAGAACTCCCACTCAGGACCTTGGCTGTGATTCCTCAGAGTCCTAGGGCTTGGAGTATGGAGAACCAATGCATCTAAGGAGCAGAGAGCAAAAAGAACTGAAAAAAGTATGCAAGATCTCATGAAATAGAAAGAAGGTGGATCCAGAGGGTGTTAGAGATTTGTGAATACAGGACCCTGGATCAGAAAAGAAGACAAGTGTGTGAGGCTGAGAGATGGGGAAAGAGTGAGGGAGTACAGAGTCTCCAATACTTGACAGTTGCTTGTGAACTACTTATAGAAGACAGGGAGCGGCAGTAATGTGGACAGGGGAATGAGAGGCAGGAGCAGAAAGATGACCAAAAGGAATATAGGAATATGAATATATATATATACACACACACACACACACATACACACACACATATATGTATGTATGTGTGTGTGTATATATATATATATATATGTAGTAAACTCTCATAAAACATAAAATCATCAATTAATCTGGTAACCTGATGGAACTTCAACTACACTGTTCCTGTCTGGCCTGATCAGAACTGAAAGTGGACAGGGGCCAGAATCAGCCACTCACATTTAGGGCTCTTTCCCTTTCCATTACCAAGTAATATCTAATAAGGCCACAAGAGGAGGTTGTCAAGGCTTAGTGGGGAGGTGGGAGAGGTCCCACCACTAGATTAGGTAAGTTAAAAAACAAAATGAAGTACCCAAATAGCTCTGGAAATAGATGAAAAAGGGACTACATTGGAACTCTTGCATTTTGTTTGCCTGGTGGTAGGTGAGGAGAAGGACTAATGTTTATATAAGAGCAGGAAAATACTGCTATTTCATACATCAAACGTAACCTTAGATTCTCCATAAGTCAATGTTTAAATTAGAATTTAAGAAGGGAAAAGAGGGATAAATAAGCAGCTACAGGGAGAGAAAGTACTGAGTCCACAGAATGGCTAGGGATGAGTCAGTGGGTGATATGCCATCAAATCTAGCTTCCCTCTATCTAGCAGGAAGTGGCATGCTGGTAAGAAACAAGAAGGTAATAGCCATAGCTTAGTGGGAAGAGAGGGAACTGAGAAACCCCAAACCCAGAAGTGCAAGGGTTAGTGTTAAAAGAGGGTACACGTGCATGGGGCAGGGCTGATTGTTCGGACCATTTGGAAAGGCCTTTGGCTGTGGGTACATCAGAAACCCCACACTTGGGGGATAATCTATGTGGCTCTGGGGCAGGGTGGCCCCTAGTACAGGTGTCAAACGGACATGACCGTGTCGCTGAAGAAAAAAGCCCCACATCTGTCCATTACTCACAACACACAATTTCCCTCCATATTCTCATGTCCAAGGCAGATGGAAGGGGTAAGATGACATCTCTCTTGGCTCTTGGGCGGGCGAGCTCTGACTGGGGACCTCTCCACCAGGGAAGGCATCATCTGCCCGCAGACTGGGACTGTGGGGTCATGATCACATGCGACTGTATCGGCATGCTCAGTTCTGTCCTTTGGCTGGCCATCTGAGTGAGGACCGAGGTGGCCACAGCTTCAGCAGCAGAGCGAACACTGAGGCCATTGCTAGGGGCTGTTGCTGAGCTGTGCTGAATCACAGGGGCTGGCGAACCCGTCGGCTCTGAGCTTTCCTTGGGACTTTCTGTCAGGAAGGAGGGCAAAGAGCAGAGATCGAGTGGTTAGAAAACAGAATGGGGAAAGAAGCAGGATTACCTTTTGCTAAAATTCTAAAGGAGCCCAAAGGAAAATAAAGATGATCTTTTTCCTGGGGGGCAGATGAACCAGAATCCTGGCTTATCTAAGGGCTAGGAAATGGGAACTTGTGAGAAGGGAAGCAAGAGCTAAGCCAAAATTAACCTATCTATCCTAATAAATGCCAGAAGAACAAATCTGTCTTGGAAGACTTACAGCCAGAATGCTCCTTAGATGTCAGAATGGCCAGACTTCGTCTCTTCTACTTTGGTCATGTTATCCATGTTATCAGAAGGGATCAGTCCCTGAGGATAACATGCCTGATAAAGTAGAGGGTTAGTGAAAAAGGGAAGACCCTAAACAAGGTAGATTGACATAGTGACTGCAATGATGGGCTCAAGCATGGCAAGAACTCTAAGGTTGGTGCAGGACTGGGCAGTGTTTTGTTTGGTTGTATATGGAGTCGCTTTAAGTTAGAACGAACTCAACGGTACCTAACAACAACATGTTAAGGAAAAAGGAGCCCTGGTGGCACAGAAGGAGCTCTGGTGGGGCAGTGGTTAAAGCATCTGGCTGCTAATCAAAAGGTCGGCGGTTCGAACCTACCAGCCATTCCATGGGAGAAAGATGTGGCAATCTGCTTCCGTAAAGATTTATAGTCTTAGAAACCCTGTAGGACAGTTCTATTCTCTCTGTCCCATACGGTCTCTATGAATCAAAAGAGACTCGGCAGCAATGGTTTATTTATTTATTTACTGAGATTCTAATGAAACAAATCCCAGTGTTAATTCTTTGTCCAGCTTATAGGTCTCTGCATAGTCCATTACTCCTGTTTGGAACATTCTTCCTCTTTTTTAAGCTTTCAAAGATATAAAACAGATATCTCTTTAGCTATCCTCTCTAATTCCCATAGCAATTAAACCATTACTTTTTGTTTCTTTAGTATTCAAACTATTCTTTGACAATAGTTTACACCACATGTAAGCCTGAGAAATATCAAGCTACAATCAAATGAAGCTATGGCTGCTCAGTCCTTGAGCAAAGTTAACTCTACAAACAAGTAAGAGGCCTGTTAGATACTCCTGACTATCACTTAGTTAGGTACTGATGATTTAAAATGTTTATTATGAATTACACCACTACACCTAAACTGACAATAACATTTTATTAATAGATACAACTATCTGAGCTGTATAAAAAAGTAATTCCATATTGCTCATTAATCACAATTAATGAGCTTCTGATGAATGCATGAGTCTTCTTTCGGGATTCAAATATTACCTTCTCTGTGAAGCATTCTTTGTTACACTCAGGCAATTAGCTTTGTGGTTTTAGAACATAAGTTCATTTATTCATCAAACATTTACTGAGCATCGTCCATATGCCAGGTATGAAAGAACAATACAGGAACCCTGTCTTCTGGAAGCTTTCGGTCTAGGAAGTCTCTGACTGCAGCATTGGTAGTTACCTCATTCACTGGTTACATGTTTAATTTACTATAACTCTCTGAGTCTCTCAGGGGGTAGGGACAGTATCTTATTAATCTTGGAACTCATCTTTGTTTCAAGTATCTACCATAACATCTGTACTACATAACCAAAACCAAAACCAAATCCACTGCCATCAAGTCAATTCCAACTCATAGCGACCCTTACTGGGCTTCCGAGGTGGTAAATTTTTATGGAAGTAGATGGCCCCGTCTTCCTTCCATGGAGTGGCTGGTGGGTTTGAACCAGCAATCTTCTGGTTAGCAGTCAAATACCTTGAGCACTGTGCCACCAGAGCTCCTTCTATACTACATCAAACCAAAAACCCACTGTGCCATCGAGTTGAATCTGACTCACAGCGACCCCCACTGGGTTTCTGAGGTGGTAAATCTTTACGGAAGGTGATTGTCCAGTCTTCCTTCCGTGGAGTGGCTGGTGGGTTTGAACCACCAACCTTCTGGGTACCAGTCAGATGCCTTAGGCACCACACCACCAGAGCTCCTTTCTATACTTATATAGAACCAAACCAAACTCATTGCTGTGGAGTTGTATCCAACTCATGGTGACCCCTCCTTGGGTTTCTGAGGTGGTATCACTACGGAAGTGGATTGCCCAACCTTCCTTCCAAGGAGTGTCTGGTGGGTTTGAACCGCCAGCCTTCTGGCTAGCAGTCAAATGCCTTAGGCACTACACTACCAGAGCTCTTTCTATACTACACAGAAGGAAGTAAATACATCTTTGCTGTAACAAACATGTAAAGTTCAATAGACTGACTAGTCACCTGTTGGAGTTCTTATAGGGAATGAGTAGAAAATTTACTGTATATAGATTATATACTGACAAATACTCAGTCCTTGTCCTCTTGGGCCCATCAACCAGATGTGAGATAGTTCATCACTAAATTGCTTTAGATATTTTCTTCTCTTGGTTTCCAGAACACCATACTCAGCTGGTTTTCCTCCTACCTTTCTGGTTGCTCATCTTTAGTCTCTGTTGACAAAAGATCTTTTGTCTCTTTGATATCTAAATGATAGAGTATCCAAGGGCTCAGTCCTGGGACTTCTCTTTTTCTATCTATACTTTCCACCTTGGGGACATCATCTAATTTCATGCCTTGAAGAAATAAATACATGCTCCTGACTCCCAAAGTATTATCCTCAGCCTTTCCTCTAAACTATGGACCCATAAAACTAACTGCCTCCTTGTTATCTCCAGCTACATGTTCAGCTTCTAAAACTCCATTTGTCTAAAAACTAAATTCCTGATATACCTCCCAAACCATTTTTTCTTCTACACATCTCACCATTTCAATTAATGGCAACTCGATTCTTACAGTTTCTCAGGCTAAAAACTTTGGTGCACTTAGTCCTAAAAGTGACATCTTTGCCTTTTAACACTTAAAAGAGGTCTTTTGCAGTAGACTTACCTTTTCTCTTTCCCTTTACCAATAAACTTCATTGAAGGTTTGGGGATGAAATAGGGAGGGATCCACACTAGGGACCCTTGCCCTTTTGTTTTTTTAAAAAAACTAACTTTGGTGTAATATTCTTCTTTTTCTGGCCCTTCATCAAACCCTGTCACTTTAACTTCAAAATATATTCTGAAGTCAACCATTTCTCACCACTTTCACTACCACCATTCTGGTCAAGGAGGTTCCATCATCTCTTTCCTGTGTTATTGCAGTAGCTCCTAAGTGGACTGTCTGCTTCTGCCCTTGTACCTGGAAGTCTCAAAGTGATCCTGCTCAAATGTAAGTCAGACCATTCATGTCACTCTTCTGCTGAAAACCTTCTAATGGCCCCCAATGTAGAATAAAAGCTGAGATTTTTACTATGATCCAGGAGGTCCTACATGAAATGTTCTCATTACCTCTCCTACCTCAGTGCCAACTACTCTCCGTCCCTTATTCTCCATTCCAGCCACACTAGCCTCCTTGATGATCCTGGAATTTGTGAGGCATGTTCCTACCTTGGGTCTACATGTGCTACTCTAGCCTACAATACTTTCTTCCCCTAAAAATGCATAGCTAGCTTCCCTCATTTCCTTTGTGTCTTTATCCAAAAGCTACTTCATCTAAAATTTCAACACCGCTGCTTTTTCTCCCTAGCATTTACTATCATCCAAAATACCATATATTTTACCTAATTACTATCATCTAACATACTATATATTTTACTTATTTATCTTGTTTATTGTCTTTTTCTCCTACTAAAATATAAGCTCCTCAAGGGTAGGAATTTTAATCTAATCTATATGATTCCCTGTTATATCCCCAGCATGTGAAACTGCCTCACACAGAACAGGCACTCAATAAATATCTGTTTAACAAATGAATGTGCCCTGAAGTGCATATTAAAATTTAAATACAGATGTTTAAAACTGGTGATGTGGTTACTTTTTTCTATGGGAACACATCTCTGAAATGATAAAGACAGTCAGTGGAAAAATAATTCAATATACCAAAATTTGATAGCCAATATTTTTATCAATTTATTTAATTTGCAAAGAAAAATTACCACTTACTTTTACTGTTCATAAGGAAATTAATAACTAATTATAATTTCAGAATTGTGCTTGACCAGAGCACAACTGTGTGGCCATCTTTTTCTATCACTACTTTATGTGTACTCATAAATTACAAACTGAAACACTATCAGCCAATCATTAAAAAGATAAAATCCCAGTGTTTTACAAATTTCACTACTTTTGTATCATTTGCTATTTATATCCTCTCTGAGCCAAGATAGTGTCTATGGAATCAGAAAGATCTGGATGTAATTTTGGCTCTATCACTTTATCAGCTGTGTAACTTCAGGCAAGTGACATAATCTGAGCATAGTTTTCTCATCTATAACCCCTCCTTGGATTGCCGAGGCAGTATCTCTATGGAAGTAGATTGCCCAATCTTCCTTCCGAGGTGTGGGTGGTGGGTTTGAACCACCAGCCTTCTGGTTAGCAGCCAAATGCCTTAGGTGGTGAGAAATGGTTGACTTCAGAAAATATTTTGAAGTTAAAGTGACAGGGTTTGATGAAGGGCCATAAAAAAAAAATTAAGTAGTTTTCTCACTCCGTGAGAGAATTAGAAAGATGGCAGAATGTCTAACACAAAGTATGTACCCAATAAATATTGCTACATTTCATCTTCAACTATGAAATTAGGATAACTCAATAAAATTTAAAAAAAATTCTTTTTTTACAGGATTGGTTGCTCCACAAAAGCTGCTCACTCATCTGTCAGAACTTCACAGAACATTCAGGATAGGGTTATGAAATTAAAAGCAGTTGAGATACTCAGCACATTCAGCTAACCTTCTGGCTAACCCTATTTAGGATGTGAGCCACTCACCTAGATAGCCTTGGGTCTTTTTCTGTAGTGCAGTGACTGGGCAGTCTTTATGAGCTAACAGCAGCTGTTTCAACTGAGCCACTTCATTGCGTAGTAATGTGACTTCATTCTGATGAGGTAGTGAAGAAAAGAGTATCAAGAAAATTCATCCTCCACTCTCAGACCCCCCGTGGCTGTCTCTAAAGAAAGGACAGAATGCTGCCTGAATTTTCTTCCTTCAATATGGGAAAGACTCTTGATCCAGCAAGGCTTCAGACAGCCCAGGACCAGAATAGTCATGAATTCAAGGACAGCTGATGAAAAGCAAAGTTTTATAATAAAAAAATGATTACTATTTAGGATAAATATTATTATATAAAAATTAATAATGAATGTCCTTTGGCTAAGAAAACCTACTTCTAGCAATCTATTACACAGAACTATCTATTCAAGTGAATACAATGTCTACTGAAATACTGCTATCCTATCAAAAAATTAGTAATAATCTAAATATCTATACTTTAAAATATAAGCACACTATAGAATATACTTCTACACAGCTATTAAAAATAATAAGGTAGACTTCTATACACATGGCTAGATCTCCAGAAGATTCTGTTAAGACATTTGTGTTAAAATAAACAACACAATCCTGGGACTCCCCTATCAAAACTATAAACGAAATAAAAAAAAAAATAGAAAAAACATGTATGTCTGAAAGACACACACCAAACTTACTATCTACATGGAAGAGAATGAGACTGGGAAAGTAAACTGAAGACTTTATTTTTATTCTATCTATTTTTTATCAGTAGGCATATATTTCATGTAATTCCTCTGGAATTGAATAAATATTTTAATAAATAAGCAGTAAGGGAAAATAATATTCAGAGAATGGATTATTATCGTCCTACTTGTACTTTAGTGCCTTTTTCTTTTCTTTTTATTTTTTTAAGACTCAATGAAAAGAGGATACTTTAGACTGAGAATAAATCTGCATTAATTCCCATGAAGTTGGAAATTAAGCTGCATTATCTGGGGCAAAAACATTTCCATTTCGGTGTCCCAGACTCCAGTCAGACTCTGATGACATAAAAGAGTGCCCTGAGTACTTAAACAGATTCCCTTCATCCAAATGGGTCTATTCTACGAGCAGATTTTGGGACAGAAGGTAAGTAGTACCCTTCCCAATTCCTAGGGAAGAGATTTCAACTCTGACTGTTAGAGATTCTTTCTGCTTATCTCCTGGCACATCTTCTGGATCTATTCTAGTGATAGAACTTTCACCTTCTATATAATGTCCCACTTTTTTTCTGATTTAATCCTACTTTTCATACTCAGCAATCCCAGTAACCATCTAGGACCCACTCACACTCAGCTGAATGTTCTGGGAAGTGAGTTCTTCTGCTTTCTTCTCTAGGGACGACACCCACAGCTTCCGCTTCTGGCGGCAACGGGAGGCTGCAGCTCGGTTGCGCTCCAGAAAGCGCTGACGCCGTTCATCTGGATCTTCATCCACAGTGCGCCGCCGTCTCCCCCCGGTACTAGGGGTGGGCTGGGCTGGTGAGACCTGTTGCCCAGGAAGGAAGAGGAGTTACTTGATGGAAACGTCAATCTTTTCCAAACTAAACCTGACATTATTAGCTAGACTAGTGAGATGGGGGAGCTCTAGTGGCGTAGTGTCTAAGGCATCTGACTGCTAACCAGAAGGCTAGCGGTTCAAACCCTCCAGCCACTCTTCGGAAGGACCATCAGGCAATCTACTTCCATAGAGATACTGCCTAGGAAACCCAAGGAGGGGTCGCTATGAGTCGGATTCAACTCATCAGCAGTGTGTGTGTGTTTCGTGAGATCTAGTAACAATCTGGCAAAGCGCTGTACTAGTCTCTGGTAACCATATCAAGTCTCATTACTATTCTGCCTCCTCATTCTGCCTCTCATTTCCTTCCAGTCTTCTCAGCCCCTTACTTAGACAAACTAGAGTTCAGTTGGAAAATCTGATTATTTCTGAGATGGACAGACAGACAAAATGAAACGAGGATCACTTTTTGTTTCTCAACAATAGAAATCTTGTAGACAGGAAAACTGGTGTCAGGGGAACTTTTAGGGAGACTCTGAAATAAAAGTTGGAGGATCACAGATTTGGATAAACAATGTATATAAATAACTATATGCTAGAACAGGTGTCAGAAAAGGAGAAAAAAAGTTTTTATTCACCTCACTACCAGTAAGATATGGGATATTATGAGGAGATAGGGATTAGTATATTCTTTTTATTTATAATCAGTTATTAATCATTCCCAGCAAATCATCCCCTTCATATGTCTATGAAGTGGGGAGTGTACCCAAGACCATGTTTAGGGTTGGCAGACAATGGTCCTATAAGTGTATTTGTATGATCTGAATTTCCAGGTGTATAGTAGAGCTGACAAGTGACAAGGTTGTAGTCACTTCTTGGTCACAGCCAGCTACCAAAAGGGACCGAGTAGATGAACCTGTGGGCTCGGGACTATAGTCACAGGGGACACCAAGCTCAATTGGCATAACATACTATACAAAACATTGTTTCACCTCCTACTTTGGCAAGTAGCAACTGGGATCTTAAAAGTCTGCAAGCTGCCATCTAGATGTAATGATGGGTCTCTCCTCATCCAGCACAAAGAAGAATGAAAAAAACCAAAGATTCATGGAAAGAATTAGTCCTAGCGACTGGCACACCATGCGATCCACAGCCTATATGACTATGAGACCAGAAGAACTAGATGGTGCCTAGCTACCAATGTCAACCACTCAGAGGGGGATCTATGTAGGAGATCCTGGATAGAGAGGGAGAACAATGTGGAACAAAACTCAAAAGCATTTGGAAAAAAAAAAAAGGGTGACCAGGTTTGTTGGTCTGATAGAGCCTGGTGGAACCACTGAGACTATGGCCCCTAGCTGCCCTTCAGGTCTAGAACTGAACTCACACCTGTGGCTTCCAGCCAAGCAAAAGACAGGCATAGGAGGTGAACATTTACCTGAGGTAAATACACTCCTTGTAGAGAACAATCATGGGAGAAAGAAGGGCTGTTTATGCATAGGGAGACAGCTCAGGGGGCAGAGGTGCATGGAGGGATGGACACAGGGAAGAGGTGACTATTGGGAGGAAGTGGGAGGGGAGCTGTTGCATTGTGGTGAATTGTGGTCAATGTCATGAAACAAAGTATATGTGAACTGCTGTACGGAACGTGAATTTGCGCTGTAAATTTTCACCCAAATCCAAAAAAAAAAAAAAATCATCCCCTTCAGGCTGAGGTCCTCTGTCATTAAGGTACTTTTGGATCATCTTCCCTTCCCATTAGCTGGTATGTGTTCATGGAATACAAACCAATTTCATAACAGCATCTAAAAATTGAATTGTAGAAAGGTCAACCATCTGTAGAAAAGAAACTAATGTAAAAGAGCACCGAAAATAAATTCTTCTTGGATCTGTTGCTATTAGGCCCCAAATGCCAGAATTCACATCAACAGCATGAGAATAACCTGAAGAGTTTATACAAAATAGTCATGTTCTCCACTCCAGGTGGAAGCATGTACTCCATGCCACTGAATCATATTCTCTAGGGATAGGACAGAGGCATATGATCTACATGACTGTTCTCCATTAATACAGATAATCAAGAGATGGTTTTATTCACTCAGACCATTACTGTTTCCCCTAAAAGAAAAAAACAGAGTAAAATTTAAACTCTATTTAATGAGCTAGAGGCTTGACTCATTCTTCTCATTGTACTAAAAGTAGAGGATTTTTTCAAGAAATTTAATTCTCCTGAGAATGTGAACTTTCTCTCAGTGCTGACCTCACTGGAACACATGTAAAGATTAGTGCTTTAGATGGAAAATGGAGAAAAGGAAAGGATAGGTTCCTAGCCTCCCACAGATAGCTAGGTAACTCATCTAGCAAATGGAGGTGAAAGAACAGATCAAAGGAAAAAAAGGGGGTGGGGGACTGAAAAGGAAAAGAATTAGTGGTAACTAAGAAGGAAGCCATGCCATTTCCTCAAGAAGGAATGCAGCACAGGTCAAAGTAGCTTTACTATCTCCAGGGACTGGCATCAGTAGGGGGTTTTAGGAGGGAGAGTGGGTAGGCCCAGCATCTAACAAAAAAACTCAAAGGCTTCTGGTGTTGTTGGCCAAGCTTTAAGGCACCATATGGCCACTAAATGTTTGGACATGTGGTGGTAACTGATGAAGCAGGTGGTGACATCAGGAAAAGAGGGGCTGGGCAAAGGCTGTAACTCTAGAAACCAATCTCAGGTTGTTGTCACCTGTCCAGTGCAGACAATCTGAAAACTGAGGCCTATTTAGTTTCCAAAGCAACTTGTTAAAACTGAGACCTCCTCTACAACAGTTCTGCATTGTTGAGTCTGTTTGTATATAAGTGTAACATACAGATAGATGAAGTACTGTCAAAAAGGACCAAAGTAGCAGGAAGATACCCAGAAAGCTGAAATCTATTCTTCCCTAATTTTTCTGCTCCTTGAAAAAGAGGTATGACACAAAGGGTAACAGTGACACAGCTTGTTCCCCCAAGGGCCCAAGTGACCTGTGGCTGTGCAGGCGATGGGGCATCAGGGTGCTGGATGAGGATCTGGCTTTGCTCTGGACGGGCTGTCACCATGGTGCTGGCAGTACCCACCACCATTCCACAACCACCATTGATGGAGGAGACTTGATGGGTTAGAGTGGCTTTTAGTCTCTGTGGAGAAAGATATAGAAAAAATAGCTTGTTAAGAGTGAGATTCTGTCAAGGGTGACAAGAGTGGGCTTGTATTTTACCACTGACCTTATAGATAGCTAAAATTCCCACACCAATTTTCCCTTAAAAGAAAAATGACAGGGAGAGAGAATGCACCTGGATCCCTAAAATGTCTCTGTTCCCTGGCTATCATCCTGGGCACAGTTGGGGTGGGGGGTGTTGTTGAAGCAATAGAGTCCAGATGAAAGCTCTCTCCTGGAACCTGGCCAGGTGCTGGTTACACAGCTATTCACCTCTTGGCCAGCTCCCCTGCCTGCCCACCCACCCCTCCATCTGTCACCCTGGAACTGAAATGGCAAGTGTTCCAATCCAAACAATCTGTGCTGCTTCTTTTCATTGCCATATCTATGTACTAGGCTTTATAGTGGGGGAGAGAAGACAGAAGTCATGAATCAGGGTTTTTTCCAGACTTCACAGTAAAGTGTCCTTAGTTGAAATTCCCAGAAGGTTTCTTTACTCAGCTCATTTGAAAAATCTAGGCTGATAGCACTTTTTTTCAGAAGGGCCAACATTACTCAAGGCTGGGATACACTCACCATCTTGGCTTCTGATTGCATGGGGTGACCAGAAGGAGAAACAGAACCACTGCTGTTAACTGGTGGGCCAGGGATACCAGGAATGTTGGGTACCATGGACACAGGTCTGGCCAGCTAGATCAAGAGAAAGAAGAAAACACAGAAGGGGTCATACTACTATAGGGTAGGGGGTCAGCTTTCCAAAATGAAGTGCTTTTTAAACTGGCACGTCAGGGCTTTTTTTGTGCAACCTGCCCATAGGGCATGCAGGGAAAGCCTAGGAAACACCTCACACTAAGGAGCATCACAGGGCAGGGGATCTAATCCTTCAGTGCTGTGACAATTTCTGTGGGAAAGACTAAGGCTCTATCTTGAGGAAGTTATTGGTGATTTAGGAGATACTAAGTGACAAGTAAAATCAACTAATCAGTGGGCTTGCAATATCAATTCCTAGACCAGGAGTTAATTGTCCAGATGAGTCTTTGTCTAGTGTTCTATAGTACTAGATTGGCAGAGGTTAGTTAAGAGTTTGGGCAGACTGCCATGCTTAACTAATACAGATCAGAGTCCATATCTCCCTGGGATATATCTGTGTTTATGAGCATTCATTCAGGTGGAAGAGAGAGAGATTCATGTGATGGTAGGGTTGGCTGCTCCAACTATAGAGCTCACCGATATAACAGAAGGCATCTGTACCGGAGGCCCTGGCAGCACAGGCATGGTCTGTCCATTAGCAAGATGCATGACGAGAGGGAGGGAGCCAGTGGGAGACCTAGAGAAGACATGAAGTAAAATGCTCATAAAACAGACTCCTTCCTATGGATCTTCCTCCTGTAATTGTTGCAGATTTTCCAACCTTTTCTAGTTAGGGAAGGAATAGGGTAGCATTGTGACAATGCAAATCTGATACCCTCAGAAAAGCGGGAAAAGCAAGGAATGCTACTTATGTTGCTTTATATATAGATGGAGAAAAATGGCAAGATAGTTAAAGCTTGCAAATTAAGAAATACCATTTAACTCAAGTGGGTGAGAGGCTAATCCTACTTAGAGTTTAGAACAATTAAATAAACATCTCTACTACTGGGACGTACAAATTTTGTCTTGCCTTAGGTAAGGGGCAATTAGAACAAAGAAGTTATTTTGCAAAGATGAATTATGTCATCTGACAGCCAAATCGGAGTAAGTTTTTCTTGTTACTTTTCATGATTTACTTTCCGTGCCCCAAAAAAACAGCTGTCCTTTTTCATTTTCTCTAGTAGGTTTGGAGAGCAATGAGCTCTTAGAGGCTAAATCCTGACAACAACCTCTTAACCCATAGATACCTGGAGATAGGATTTCAAGCCATCCCATCAGGAAATCAGTATGGGCCATGCTAGGAATGAAGACAAACAGACAAACAAAATTGGAGGTCACAAAGGCCAAGAACCCCAACAGGGACCAAGGAGAATACCAGATTCAAAGAAAAAGACTTAGGTTACAGCCCCTCATACAGTTGTTGTTGTTGTTTGCCGTCGAGTCGGCCCCGACTCATAGCGACCCCTCCTTGGGTTTCCGAGGCAGTATCACTACGGAAGTAGGATTGCCCAACCTTCCTTCCGAGGAGTGGCTGGTGGGTTTGAACCGCCAGCCTTCTGGTGAGCAGTCAAGTGCCTTAGGCACTATGCTACCAGAGCTCCTCCTCATATAGTAGTACCCTAATAAATGTCTATATGAGTGAGGCTAAGAACTAAATATACTTCTTTGTGTGGCTTCCACCATTGTGATGAATTTCCTGAAGTTTTAAGGATTCTTCTTTGTATATCAAGAAGTCATAGTAAACCCCAAAATTAAGGAAATATTATCCCCAAATAAATATTTGCTTGTCTACTAAAAAGGTAAAGGAAATTCTGTTTATTGGGGAAAGAAAAATGATTTTCAGAGACAGTCTCAGTGATTCCGCTTCCTTGGGTATTCAAAAATCTGGACTCCTGCTTTATCAAACAATTTCATAAAGTAGAAAGAGATTCAGGCTTCAGTGTTCCCCTGCTCTCTTTACTTACCCCAGTTGCCTGTTGGATGGTGGAGCCTGTGTGATGACAGAGGTTGGCGAGGGAAGGGTTGGGTGAAGAGGATCATAGCCCAAGTGGAGAGGCAGGGAGCCAGGGCGTACGATGGTGGGCGTTGGGGTAGAGATCACAACAGGCTTTGAGGCAACCTCCTGAGGAGAAGAAACCAAGAGATCACAAAAGGCTTTATGGGGATGCTTATAGGGAAATAAATAGCTGATAAAATCCAGTATAAATTTAATGAAAAGAGTACTAGAGCTACTCATGTAAATCATGATCTAATTCCATCAGATCATGGACCTATACCTCACTCACCCAATCAGCAGGAATTTGGATTAAGATCTCTTGGCTAGCTCCCTTTTAGGGCTGATGGCTACATGAATGAGATGACAGTTGAAATGTAACTTGAAATCTTTGGAGAAGCACTGTAGAACTATATAAATTTTAAGGACTATTATAATTCTGTTCATCCTAGATGCTCACACCCTACACCTGATGCCTGAGTATCCTCTGATCTGCAGTAGGAAAGGCAGTATACTGGTGATAAAGGCAACTCAGTATCTCCTATAGACTCTTTGAAAAAAAAAAAAGCATGGAAGTTTGAATAATGATCACATTGGAATAAAACAAACTGCTTTCCACTGCTAACCTGTTAGAAGCTTAGATTGCTAGTGGCCACACTGACCCTGAAAAGCAACCCCAGACAATCTAGGAGCTGGCTGCTGGTGAAAAGGGGAGATAATGAATAAGATGGTTGTAATGTTTATGGAAGGGGTAGTTTTGAGAGAAGTTATCAAACCAAATTTGATAAAGGAAAGTGAGATGAAGTACTATCTACAGTGAGTGGAAGTTAAAAATAACAGCCACTAGTAGAGGGGCAGGGATTAGAAAAGGAACATGAGGAAGCCCCTGACTGAGGTTTTGATAATATCTGTTTCTTGACTTGGGTGCTTGTTACATAATGTGTTAATTATGTGAAAATTTATTCAGCTGTATACTTATATAATTTATGTTCTTTTCTATATGTGTGTTATATAATTCAATATCTTTATTAAAAAATAGTACTTCATAAAAATTTCCTTTAAATATAATAATAATCAGAATCCTGGTAGATACTCCCTTTGAATCACTGGACAACTTCCTCCTTGACTTTTTTTCTAAAATTGTTTAACATCTAATTTATGAATATATGAACTTTTCTTTTTCACTTTTTAACTGAGGTATAATATACACAGAGTGCACTAATCTAAAGGATATAACTAAGTGACTTTACTTATATAAAATCAAAATATAGACCATTTCTATCACCTCAGAAGTTCTCCTGTGTTCTTTCCTAATCCATACCCTCTCCTCAACAGGAGGTAACCTAATGTTCTGAGTTCTCTCATCATCAATTATAGTTTTGCTTCTTCTTGAACCTCATGTAAATGCAATCACACAGTATGTACTTTTGTGTTTAGCTTGTTGTTGTTCAATAAAATGTATGGGAGATTCATCCACATTGCTGTGTACTAGTGAGGTTCATCCTTTTTAAATGTCATAGAGTATTCTGTTTTAGAAATATACCACAATTCATACATTTTTTTGTTGATGGATGTTTGGACATTTTCAATTTTTTTAGTTATGAATGCAATTGCTATAAGCATTCTTAAATACTTCTTCAGTACTGATTTCTCTTCCATATAAATGTAGAAATGGAATTGCTGGGTCAGTGAATTGGTGTAATTCATATAAATTTTTAAAATAGCTAACATTCCTTTAAACATAGTCAATCCTCAAGTATGATACACTACTTATACAACTAATGAATCAAAACTTAGTCTATCAATTAATATTTGGGATGATTCTTGGTAGAGATTCCTACCTTCTCCTTGAGTGGCGGAGAACAGGGACTAGAGGCAGGGCTGTCAGGTGGGGATGAGTCTACCTCTACTGGCTCTTCTTCTTTGATTTTGATATCTGGTGTGGAAGGTAGAGACATGTCAAGGGGCCCAGCAGCAGCCTGTTAAAGAAGAGAAATGAGTAGAATTCAACCCCATGGTTTTCAGGTTGAATGTCATTCTTTCCAGTTATAAGATGAGAGAATAAGCTTCTAAGAGGCAAAGTCTTGTTTGACCCAATGACTTGCATTGAACTGCAGGTCAAAGAAATGGGGAGCTTTTTTTTTTTTTCCTCCCAATTGAAGGAAGGTTGGGCAATCCTACTTCCGCAGTGACACTGCCTCGAAAACCCAAGGAGGCGTCGCTATGAGTCAGGGCTGACTTGACGGCAAATAACAACAACAACAATTGTGATTTGGGTGAAAGTTTACAGAGCAAATTCATTTTCCATGTAACAGTTCGTACACATTTTGTTTCATGACACTGACTGCAATCCCCATAATGCAACGGCTCTCTTCCCACTTCCATCCTCTGGTTACCTTTTCCCTGTGTTCTTCCCTAGGTATTACCCCTCTGTGAGCTACATCCCAGTGCAAATACTGTCCTTCTGCTCTCCCATGGTTGATTGTTCTAAGGAGTGTACCTACCTGGTGTAAATGTTCACTTTACACACTGTCTATTGTTTGGCTAGAAGCCACAGGAGTGAGTTTATTCCTGGCCCGAAGGGTGACTAGGGGACATAATCTCAGGAGTTTCACCAGGCTCTATCAGACCAGTAAGCTTGGTCTTCTTTATGATTTTGAGTTTTGTCCCACACATTTCTCCCACTCTATCCAGCATCCCCTAGTTTGATCCCTTCCAGGGTGAGTGGTTGACAGTGGTAGCTGGGTACCATCTAGATCTTCTGGTCTCAGGATCATATAGGCTGAGGTTCACATGATCCATCAGTCCCTTAGACTAACTGTTTTCATGCATCTTTGGTTTTCTTTATTCTTCTTTGTGTGGAGCCTATGTTTTATGTAAAACTGACCAAATAATTCTAATTTTTCTGGGCTTTAGTTTCCCTAATTATAAAATGAAGTTAGTTTCTCTAACTACAACCTGCTTACCTCTAAAAGGAAAAAAATATCATTTAAATTTATGCCAATACGACCATATATTTTGATACATTCCTTTTAAGGAAAGTAAAATGATTTCTTGAGACACATTCCTGCCCATTCCCAACCAGTGCTGGTGGCTGCTAGAGGGGTGTGAATACCTTCTCTGCCAACAAGAATGATGACACTGCCTAATTACCTGAAGCAAACAAAGACAAACTGGCTATTAAAGTCCTGCAAACAAGATAGGAATCGTCTTTTCTGGGGATTTCCCATAGCTGATGGTGCTCTCACCCCAAGATCTGGTACCAGCAGCTAGGAGTTTCAGGCAATAAGGTTTTGGGGTAACAAAAAAAAGGAAAGGCTGACCAGCTGATCAGTTTAAAAAAAAAAAAAAAATATATATATATATATATGTGTGTGTGTGTGTGTGTGTGTGTGTATATATATATATATAAATAAATAAATAAAACTTGGTCTTAGGAGCAACACTGAAGGAAACTAGAAAGGAAAGAGAGTACTTTTTATAATCAACTTGCAGAACAGTAGAGCCATAAACGCTTTGTAGGAACAATAAAGCATCTCAGATAATGGACCTGACACTGCACCATGATAGGAGGGTTGGTGTTGGAGTTCAGTTTTGTGATAAATTGGATTCTTTGTTCTATTCTTCTCATTATCAGAGGTTTCTTGGTAAAAAGAGGATCTTATTTCCAACTCTTCTCTTGCTACTTTAATCCCTAGAAACCTTCTCACTAGCTGAGTTAAAGTAAAGATACTTTGGTGTCTACTCGGAAGGAAGATGGGGCAATCTACTTCCATAGTGATACTGCCTCAGAAAAGCAAGGAGGGGTCACTATGAGTTGGGTCTGACTCCACAGCACATAACAACAACAACAAACATTAGAGAAGGTGGTAATGGTTCTTCCTCTCCAGTCTGATAGGGGTGAGTGACACCAAAGAAGGTTTCATTTCTGCCCTCATTTTCTCCTATATTGCTAAAGTATCAGGCTCAATGTAGGTAATGCTGGGATCTTGTAAGTCAGAGGAGTAGTAAAGGAAAATGGCCTCTAAATAAATACAACCATGGGTTTAAAACCCCCTTGGGGCATCTCCAAGAAAAGCTGTGGTTCAGAAAAGTTTCAAGCTCATTAAACACTCCTGGAAGCAATCTTCTACTGAGTCTGTGCTTCTCATCAAAGGGAGGTAAAGACCACCTCCATACAAGCAGGAAGAAACACCAAGGGATGCCCACTGAGGAAAGGCCCGGTCAATTATCAATCAGCCTCCCAGACTGATAAACTGAGCTAAAGTGGCAGTGGAAAGACTTCAACCTTTTAAACCAAATCCAACCCACTGCCACCGAGTTGATCTGACTCATAGTGATCCTCTAAGACAGAGTAGAACTGCCCCATAGGTGTCCTAAGGAAGCAGACTGCCTCATTCTTCTTCCACAGAATGGCTGGTTGGTTCAAACTATAGACTTTTTGGTTAACAGCTGAATGCTTAAACCACTGCACCACCAGAGAGCCTTTTAAAGGGATGTTATTTTCTTGAATTTCCCTGCAAAGCATTTGATATAAAATCCTTCACTTCTTGGTGGAAACAATTTGATTAATTTCTTTGCTTTAGGGCAGGAGGAAAATGGTAGGAGAGGTGAAGTGGGGAGGTTATAAAATAAAATTATACTATTTAGGTTGATGAGAGTCCTGGGTCTCTAAAGAAAAAACAGTAATGAGGAGACTGGCTAGTTCTGCCATTTCAAAGTAGAACTACAAATACATGCCACTGAGTTTCTCCACTTTCTGACAGTTTCATGAGGAAGATAGCATGAAAAGCAGCACACAGAAAGTTACAGAACTTGGGAAAGAACTCTAAAGATAAGGACATTTTTAAAATCTTGTATTTTTATAACTGAAGCTAAATGAAAAAGTCACGTACAAGCGTCTTGATTTACCTGTTATCTCTATCTTAGAAGGAAAAGAACTTGCTTGGAAAAATTTTTTATGTGCCATCTTTTCTCTGTTCTGATGAGATACTATGCCTTCTTGCACCATGAAATTATGGGAGGTATATGTATAAATGTACATATGTTTTGGGCTGTGGATTTTGGAGAGTTTTCTATTATAGAATACAGACATGATTTTAAATAGTGACTAAAAACCTAAAATTCTAATTCTAAAGAAGAGTAAATTTTGATCTTTCCAATTTCCTTTTCCCCCAAAATTCTTCTACTCTGTGTGAACTAGCCACTTTCAGTTCTACTTATTAAACTATTTTCTCTGGTCTTCCCAACTAAGGGATTGTCTAGGGATCTGAAATATAAAAAGCTAAAATCGGAATATTAGTACCTCAGGATTAGAAGCAATTTGCAGTATTTAAATCCTATATAGTATCTCCACTAAATGCCCTACCTATAATTGAACACATTTTGTGATAGCATCTATCCAGTGGTCCTACTTTTACCTTTGGGCCATATAAAATAAGTCTAACCCCTCTTCTCCATGAACACGCTTCGAATATTTCAAGATCACAATTTTGTTCACTCTAAATTTTATCTTTTCTAGGCAAAACATCCTCAATTCCTTTAAACATTCCTGAAGTGATATAATTTCTAATTTTTTCACCATCCTGGTTCATCTTCTTTGAAAGGTATTAATTTATCAACATTCTTCTTTAAGCCTGTGTCTTGGATATCACTTCAAAACTACTTGAAGACAAGAACCACACGCTGCTTATCTTGAGCCTCAAGTGCTGACTGGATGAAAACAGTCCAGGTGAAGACTGATCAGCTCAGAAAAGTTATCTAACGAAATCAATTTTCTACTCTTTTAACATCGTCAACATGTTCAATATGAATACTGAAATACAGAAATATATTTTTTAAGTAAGTTAGTTTAATGTGCCACTGGAAGGGCAGGAAGACTCATAGCTAGTGAAGGCAGGCTTATACTTATCAAATCATTTGGGTCCTCATGGACCCGGGAAGATAACTAGTATTAGTAGATATTCTGGTTCTACTGAATCAAAGCTCAGTGGAGCTCCCAAATTAAGAGAGACTAGGAAGACCTACTTCCAAAAATCAGCCAGTGAAAACCCTCTGAATCAGATGGTCCTGTGGTATACAGGGTCACCATGAGTCAAGCCAACTTATAAGTGGCTAACAACAACAAAAATCTGGTTCTATAGAACAAAGCCCATAATTTTGTCTTTAACCACTTAAGCAAATCATCCCACGACACAACAAAAATAGTCTAGGTCTGAACATCACCAGTTTTTCAGCAAAAGTTTCATCTCTTGCCTTTTTCTCATCATCATCTGAAGCTTTCTTGAATTCATGTTCAAAGGAGCTAGCTAGTTCATTGAAGAGCCCCACCTCCTCACAGTTCTTTAGGAATCTAGTCGGAGTAGGAGTTTGATCTGTAGACATGAAAAAAAAAAAAAGAAACTTTTAGTTTTGATCTGAAATTAAAACCTGAGAGTTCATAGAGTACCAGTTCCTGCTGCGACCCTGGCTTGCCTGTCAGAGGAGCACTATACTCTGTGGGGTCTGCAATAGCTGGTTTTCTGGGGAGCACATTGGCCGGCTTTTCTTCTAGGTGGACTTAAACTTCTAATCTTTGCTTAGTAGCCAGCACACTAACCATGTGCAGTGCACCCAGGTACTCCTGAGTTTATAGAGCATGCATTTTTATTTTTCTGTATGGAGAAAGACAGTCTCTGTGTTAGGGCAAATTTGTTTTATGGAGTTCTAGTAGATGAGCTCTGGTGGCATAGTGCCTAAGGCATTTGACTACTAATCAGAAGGCTGACAGTTCAAACCCACCAGACACTCCTCGGAAGGAAAATGGGCAATCTACCTCTTTAGTGATACCGCCTTGGAAACCCAGGGAGGGGTCACTATGAGTAGGATCTGACTCTATGGCAGTGAGGTTTTTTTTTTTTTTCTCCAGTAGGTGAAAAGCCTGGTAAAGTGCTTGGCTGCTAACCAAAGGGTCAGTGGTTCAAACCCACCAGCTTCTCTGTGGGAGAAAGATATGACAGTCTGCTTCCATAAAGATTTACAGTCTTGGAAACCCTATGGGGCAATTCTACTCTGTCCTATAGGGTTGCTATGAGTAGGAATCAGAATTGACTCCATGGCAGTAAGTTTGTTTTTTTGGTTAGTAGGTGAAGGCTAATGCTAGGCCACCAGAGGGTGTCTGTGTTGTGTTGCCTCGAGGCCAGCAGGGGGAAGACAGAACAGTGTTTTGTTGTGTGAATGAAAGACTACCCAGGTACCCACCTTTCTCTCCCAGATGCTGGTTTTACTCCTCCCTCCCCCAAAAGCAAACCAAACAAACAAACAAAAAATCACTGACCAAGGTGGAGCTTTATGAAACCTCAATTAAAATTACGTAGTTGAGTGACATTTTCTCTTTAAACTTACTCCCTCCTAAGTCTGAAAGTCTGAGCAGGTATAAGCAGATGGGTATTAAAATCTGATGAGAAGAAAATGAGGATCAGATGGTTGGATTTGCTTGCTGAAGTTACCAAATATGAAATGGTGCCTTGTCTTTCAGAGGCCACTGAGGTAAGGGTCTGTTACCTTCTGAAGACATTCCAGGCAAATGTACACACTGGAGAACAAGACCATGAACTAGGAAAGGAAACTACAAACAATGGAGCTCATTTCACAGAGACCCCAGCCCAGAGCAAACTCCTGAAACCAGGATATTTGGACACAGATTTACCAGCCAAAATATCCCCTGCAAGAGCTGCTCAAGTCTTTCCTCAACACAGCGTCTCTGTCCTTGAAAAGAGGCTCTTGGTAACCCATGGGAACTTTTCAAAGCAACTTGAATTTTAGATTTGCCTCCCTCTCTTTACATCCTGCTTTTCTAGTTTTTCTCTCTTATGTAAGTTGAGTCTTGTTCTCTGATCTTAACTCTACTATCATAATGATTTTCCTTGACATGCTAGTCAACTCAGGGATTCACCTCAAACCTCAAACCACACTAGAGTGAATTAGAGAAACAGAACAATGTCCAAATGATATTTTAAAAGAGTGAAACCTGGGCTTAGGATTGCTCCTTCTAGCATGATCAACTGGAACAGTCTAGTGGGATTTTAAAAAATTTTTTTAAAAAAACCTCTTCTGAGAGTGTTTGGAAAAGTTACCTCTATTTCCCCAAAATAGTCTTAAAAGGTTCTCTGGCAGCTTCAGTTAGCCAATGATAGAGCCACTTTCCCTCTGTCCCTAGGTGAATAGAAGTAATATCCTTTATGCTTACAGAGTGCTTCAGTAAAAGTACACATAACAGCACAACTCAAGTGGAGCAGGAAGGGGGCAGGTAAGGGCGTGATTATAGCAAAAGGGAACCTGTTTGGATCTCAGATCTGACGTTCATATGCGGTTCTCCTGCACCCTATTGTTCATATTCACTTTGGGTTTTAATTTCAAAAGCTCCCACGTACTAAATTTAATTTCTGACCTTCTACGTAGCTTCTAACCTCTAACTGGGGTGTGTGTGAAAAAACAGCCTGAAAATGTATAAGAAAATTCTGAGCCTATTTGATTCGTAAGAAATAAACAAGTGTTTACTGAACAAACATATACAAAAACAAACAAGTGTTTACTATGTGTTTTATACTATAATGCATGTACTTGAGTATATCTGGAGGAGAAAAGGGGAAGAAGTATAGGAGTCTTTCCCACCTATAAGACATGGTTCCTGCCCTACAGAATTAAGAGAATGTTTTCTAGTTGGGGAAATTAATATACATAATCAACATCGTAGTACACAAAAAACAAGTGTCATGTACAGTAAAGAACAAAACTATTGTAGAAGTGAAATAAAGACAAATTAAGGTGGCCCAAATGGTTTGTGAGGCTGGAAGTTTTGCCACCGATATTTCAAGTATCAGCAGGGTCAGTGATGGTGGACAGGTGTCAGTGGAGCTTCCAGACTAAGGCAAACTGGAAAGAAAGACAAGGCTATTCACTTCTGAAAAAAATTGGCCACTGAAAATCTTATGAATAGCAGTGAACATTGTCTGATATATTACTGGAAAGGACCAGAGAGTGTTTAACTCTGTTGTACATAGGGCCACTATGAGTCAGAGCCAGCTCAATGGCACCTAATAACAACAACAACAAGTGGTTTGTGTTCAACTGCCAGACAAAATGTTAGTGGGTTCAAACCCACTCAGCTTTACTATGAAAGGCTTGGCGATCTGCTTCCATTAAGATTACAGCCAAGAAAACCCTACGAAGCCGTTCTACTCTGTAACACATGGGGCCATCATGAGTCAGAATCAACAAGAAGAAGTTAGGAAAGGTTTTAAGAAGTGGGACTTAAGCTGGGCCTTAAATAATGGCATTAGATATCAGAGAGAAGAGAATTTTTGGTAGGTAAAAGGAGGAAGACACAGAAACAGGATATGGACACCATGTATAGATGAAGAGACAAAAGTATGACCAGATAAAAAAGATAATCATTAGGTAGAGAAGTTGTATATAAAACTGGATGAGTACCATGTAACTAGAACTCCACGAGTAAACAGCCTAGTATGAGTCGGGTCCAACTCAACAGCACACAACAACAACAACAGGAAGATTTGGGGCAGGGGAATGGAATTTAAGAGAGACTGGTTTTTCAATAATATACAAGATGGATTAGAATGAGGAAAGACTACTGGAGGTAAGTTATAGATGTGGTGCAATTACTTAGTATGGCTCTTCTAGCCATGGTCTTTGTGATGAATGGGACTATACAAATGTGATGTGCTTGTGGCCCATCAAGGGAATTGGATAGCTTGCTAATGATGTAAATAAGGTACATGGTACCCTTTTGTGGGACGGACTATGCAAATAAGGTGTATGGTACTCTAATGTGGGGATTAGTCTCTAGGCTTAAAATGAGCTATCCCAGGAGCTTAAAGGGGAAGATTTCATGACCATCAAGAAAGAAGAGCCAGGAAAGGAGTGCATTCTTTGGACCTGCGATCCCTGTGGTCAGACTACGAAAAGAGACAGCGCAGCAAAGGCAGCAGAACCAACAGAACCAAGAGATCAACACAAGATAGAGCAGTGGGCTTCCCAGCCCACGTGGCAAGAAAGTTGAGTGCTTTCAAGCAGAAGGCTGGCTGGTAGAGTGGAGTGGATCTATCAGCATAGCTAAAAGAGCTTTGTAACACCTGACCAACCATAGCAGAGGCCAGGCTGAGAGGCTGAGGGTCAAAGAGAGGTGCTTGCGGCCATGATCAAGGGAAGGCTGTCCTGATTGAAGAACTGTATCCCGAGAGCATTCCTGAACCTGAATTGTAACCTGTTACTTGCCTGATAAACCCCATAATCATGAGTACCATCTGTGAGTTCTGTGTGGCCACTGCAACTAATTATTGAAACCAGCAGAGAAGTAGAGAGTGCTGTAGATGTCAGAATTAGTAAAAAGGTTGGAGGATGGAAGCATGTCTGACTTCCACATCACAGGAATTAGCCTTGGGCTGATGCTGCTGATGGTGATTCTGTCTCCCCCTTATGAAGGTAGAGGAGGTTGGAAGCCATCCCTATATCAATTTTCAAAGAAGAGTACGGAATAACTCAAGCATAATGCGAGTGGTGCCAAGAAGAACAAGAAAGAATAGAACAGAGAATCTGAAGAAAGAGATTTGAGAATGCTGCTACCAGTGAGTAACAAAGGAGGTAAGTTCAGTCTTATCGACATGTAGAATTTGAAACAACAAAAAGCCAACTAAAATAATCAATAAAGGGTTCTAAAACATGTAAGCTACCAGATCTTTAGAGACGTGAGAATTACCAGTCTACAGAGTAGACAAAGTCATGTGCAGTGGGACAAGTACTCCAGAAAAGAATGCAAAGAAGAACAGGAAAACACTTTTTTCCCCCCTTAGGACTGTCCTCACCTTCCCTGGAGACTAAGCATAAGATCTTTGCCCATTTGGAATAACTTTTCTATTTTGGTAACCTTGCTCCAAATTTACCTTTTTTATAAATGTTCTCTGATTAATTCTGCCTAGTATTTATATTGTTTGTATCATTCACTTTCCAGTATACAAACGAGTACTTTGCAAATACAAAAATATTTTCTATGTATATATGCTCTGGCTTATTAATTCCTCCTCAGAAAGAAGACTTGGCAATCTACTTCCATAGAGATACTGCCTCAGAAACTCAAGGAGGGGTCATTATGAGTCAAATCGACTCGACAGCAGTGAGTTTGGTTTTGGTTTGGATATTAATTTAAGTATGTGTTATCTACGTACCTACACACTATCCACCCTTCCCTAAGACTTTTGTAAGGATTATCAATGTCAATGTCCCCTACTCATGTTCTTTTCCCAGGGATTACACATCTATAAACTAGCAAAGTACACACAGTCGATATTCAATAAATTTGCTGAATTAATACAGGGTAGAAAACCCGCAAGAGCAAGTCTCTTTCTTCATGTGTAGAGTATGGAGAAGAGTTTTTCTCTCCTTCTCCACAGAGTAGCATTTTAGTTAGTAATTCTTAAGTGAAATTGTTGTTAACTGATAGAATAACTACCAACTAAATCCCTTAAGGAGCTCTGGTAGCATAGTGCTTAAGGCACTTGACTGTTCACCAGAAGGCTGCCACTCCTTGGAAGGAAGGTTGGGCAATCCTACTTCTGTAGTGATACTGCCTCGGAAGCCCAAGGAGGGGTCGCTATGAGTCGGGGCCGACTCGACGGCAAACAACAACCACCACCACCAAATCCCTTAATGATTAAATATTAAGTTAAACTTCTGGTTGAAAACTTGGGCCAAATCAGAACTTCTCAAGGTATCAGAAAAAAAAAAAAAAACCACCTTAATTTGTATGTCTGTCTAGCTGAAACTGGTACAAGAGAACTGCTGCATGGTTTTGAGAGCATTTGCTGACATTATTCCCCTAAGAGTGGTACTTGTAAGCAAAACAGTACCTAAAACAACTTGTGAGATGTTCCAGGTCACCCAAATTGGCTTAGAAAAGTCCCACTGGCTAAATTGTTTTGAGCTTTGGAAATGTGCCCTCAACGGTGTCTGGGTTCAGGAGGAATGTTGAATTTACAAACAATCTGCTTGTTCAGGAAAACTGACACCCAGTGGATGAGAAGCAGCCAGTTTTCTCGCCTTCTTTTGTTTACCTCCTCATTATGGGCAGGAAGAAATGTCAAAGGTATCTTTCATCTGTATACCTTCCAAAGTCTTAATAAAAAGGCAGCAAGGAAGGAATAGGAAAAAAAACTAAAACAAAACCTCAGCACACCTACCCTCAAAATCTGCAGAACTCGATATTGTATTAAAAACACAGAGTAGAGGGCACAATAGAAACTTGGGAGCTTTTAGTTCTTTTTATCTTATTAAATGTAGATCACATAAGGGCTCTTAATGGGAGAAGGGGAGTATAGCTCCCAGTACATCTGGTCCCTGGTATTAATCTTAACTGTCTTGTGATACCAAGGCACATGGCTTTTGGGGAAGCAAATACCTGCAATGATGACTGAGTCAGTTCGGGCTGGGCCAAATTTCAATGTCATCTCATGCTTGTGTTTATGAACTGCCAGGTGGTCCTCGTTTGTAAATCTCTGAAATGAAACAGAAATGGAGATGTGAAAAAAAAAAAATAAAAAATAAGCAATACAATACCCATTTAAATGTCCTCCCAAACATCCTGTGATAAGGTTGGTCCCTGGGAAAAGGGACTGGAGAGGAAATGGAAAGGAGAAAAACTGGAAGTGATGAAAAAGGAGAGGAGATGGGAGGGAAAAAAAAGAGAGAGAGGGGGAGAAAAAGAAATGCTAAAAAGCATGGAGGAGAGCAGAGGGGGAAGACCATAGCACCAACTGCTCGGTAATATCAAGTCCAAACGAGCAAGTGGACAGATTGTTGGTGAAGTGGGGTCTAGGCAGGAGGCTCCAAATGAAAAAAACATTAAGGCAAACTCGTAACGAACAAGGGGAAAATAATTTTTAATAATAATAATAAAGAGAGAAGGGAAAGGCTCAGCACTCATTGGTCATCACAAAATAGGAAATTCAGAATGAAGCTCTCCACGGTGGGGCTGAATTGGGCTATTTTATGAGGGGGCTAGCAGGGAGATAAATTATGCAGGATTAGGAGAACCATTTAACTTCCTGGCCCCAACAGTGCTGCAGCAGGCGCCTACGCGGCTATTTGGCTCAGAGTTTTAATGAGCCAGGACGGAGCTGTAGAGGACGGAGGCCCAATGGCCAGCAGTAATAGCACACACCAGCTCCATCGGCCAAATGCTGTCTCCCCTCATCGGGCAGCCCGCCTGGGTTCCATCAGCCATAAAGGGACCAGTACAATGCTGCTGGCTATATAATGGTAGAATAAAAATGCAAGCAAACGAGTTTTTTTTTTTCTTTTTTTCCCAGGGTGGGGAGGAGCCTGTAGGCAGGATGAGGGAAGGGAAAAGGATTTTGTTTGGGGTTTTGGGTGAAAGGACAATGAAAAGGTGAGGCTAGGTCTGCTCCAGTTTATGACTAAGTAAGACAGGGCTACTGAACATGTTCCTGCCTCTATATTAAAAGAGTGAGATGAAAAACAATTCAAAAGAATTATATCCTCAAAATTCTCTTTGAGAATGGCTGGCTGTGTTCCTTCATTAAAACACGCCTGCAACACACTAACAGCCTAGATGCTGCAGTTTTCCATAGCTCCTTCAGAAGTTCTATCTGTAGTTTTGTTTCTAAAAATAGTGATTGGTTAGTTTCTTCTTTTTACTTTTTTCACTAGATAGTATTTCTCACTGAGCACTACTATACCTTCAGCCTTCTCTACAACATTTCTTGATTGGGCTGCTTTTTTTTTTTTTTTTCTCTCAACTTTGCTCTGAGCTCTATGAAAAGGAAAGTCAGTGTTAAGATTAAAAATTCCTTCTAGGCTGAAGGGTAGAGGGGCTTTTCAATTAAAAATATGAAGAAATGGTTTCCAATGGATGTAGTACAAAACTGAATAAAGTGTGGAAATACTTAGCTAAGATAAGAACTTTGATTTTCTCTATTAATGGTTAACCCAGGCATTAATGTTTTCTCTTTTTTAAAACTTTTTATTGTGATTTGGGTGAAAGTTTACAAAGCAAGATTAGTTTTACAACACTAACATTTTCAATCACAGATTCTTTTCCTAAGGAAAGAAGAGTGGAGGTGAGGGGAAAGGAAAGGCTATCTAGTGCTGCAGAAATACCACAAGTGGGTGGCTTTAACAAACAGAAATTATTTTCTCACAATTTAGGAGGCTAGAAGGCTGAATTCAGGGTGCCAGTTCCAGGGGAAGCCTTTCTCTCTGGAGGAAAATCCTGGGTTCTCTGACATTGTGCTTCTGGGTGATGGAAGCTTAGGCTTCAGTTCCACATTCTAGAACCACTGGGATGGCAACTCTGCTCCCCTGGCTTCTTTGCTTCCCTGTTTCTCTTAGTCCATATGAGTGGTCACCCTACTCCCCCAGCTCCAGCAGGCCTCATTCTTCTGCCCCTCAGGCATGGCAGCCTGCCCCTTCAGCTTGGGCAGCAACTCAATCTCCCTGGCACACTTTAATGGCAGCCCCATACTCCAGAACCAGTTGGTTAAGGTCTGACTCTTTGAAACCTAGGAGGCTGTGGCCCCACCTTTTGAGATCCAGGAGACTGGAGTGCTACTCTTTGGAACTGACAAAGCCCTGCTTCTCATGCTCCTTCCAACATTTCTGCTAATCTCTAAGACTTGATGGCACGTAACAACAACCACCACCACCTTCCAATATACATATGAACATAACTCAGACAAGTTCTTTGCCACACATAAAAAGTAATGCCCTTCCTTCACTGTCCAATCACATCCATCATTTTCTTTTAAAGCCTCACCAGAAGCACATTTAACATCCACATTTCTTGCAACATTCTGTTGCTGGTACCATATGTATGCAGTCTCTAAGAGACTCTCTATAGAGCTACAGAGATCTTCTCTATAGCTTTCCTCACTTCCTTCTGAGCCCTCACAAGAACTGCCTTTGATGTTCATTAACTGTACCATTTTTCAAGGCAATCTAGGCTTTTACTATTGTTGTTGTTGTTGTTGTTATGTGCCGTCGAGTCAGCCCTGACTCATAGCGACCCCTCCTTGGGTTTCCGAGGCAGTATCACTACGGAAGTAGGATTGCCCAACCTTCCTTCCGAGGAGTGGCTGGTGGGTTTGAACCGCCAGCCTTCTGGTTAGCAGTCAAGTGCCTTAGCCACTATGCTACCAGAGCTCCCAGGCTTTTACTATTAGGTACCTTAAATCTCTTCCACCCTCTACCCATTACCCAATTCTAAACTGCTTCCACATTTTAGCTATCTGTTAGAACAACACCCCACTCTTCCGGTACAAAATTCTGTCTTATATAGTGCTGGTATAACAAAAATACAGTAAGTGGGTGGCTTTAACAAACAGAATTTTATTTTCTCATAGCTTAGGAGGCTAGATGTCTGAATTCAGGAAGCCAGCTCAAGGGGAAAGTTTCCTTTCTCTGTCTGTTTGGAGGAAGGTTCTTTTATCTTTGAGCTTCTGATCCTAGGCAATCTTCTTTGTGACTTGGCATCTCTCGTCTTCCATTTCTGCTTCTGCTTTTTTGTTTAGTGTCATTTATATCTCAAAATAGATTGATTCAAGATAAAACAAAAACCAAACTCATTGCCACTGAGTCAATCCCAATTCATAATAACCCTACAGAACAGAGTAGAACTGCCCCATAGAGTTTCCAAGGCTGTAAATCCTTACAGAAGCAAATGGCCACATCTTTATCCCATGGAGTGGCTCGTGGGTTTAAACCACCGAAATTTTGGTTAGCAGCTTCAACCACTACACCACCAGAGCTATTTATTTTTTCCAAATCACAAGTGGAGCCTTGAAGAGAACTAAAGATGGCTGAAGAACTCTCACCCACAAACATCCATGTTCATAACTGTGAACATGGATAGGAAAAAAAAACAACTTTGTTTTCACTAAACTCTAACTGAAATTTAGCATTCCTAAACACAATAGAGGAGCTCTGGTGGCGTAGTGCCTAAGGCATTTGACTGCTAACCAGAAGGTTGGCGGTTCAAACCCACCAGTCACGCCTTGTAAGAAAGATGGGGCAATCTACTTCCGTAGTGATACTGCCTTGGAAACCCAAGGAGGGGTCACTATGAGTCGGGTCCGACTTGACGGCACATAACAACAACAACTTTGAAATTATGGTAGTTATCAAAGCTATCACTACAGCTTGTTATTTAATGTGTTAATAAAGAAACACATAGATTATAAAATTTTAAAAAACATTTTTGATAATTGTATTCAGTATAACTGGTTTTCTTTGTAATCTTATGTATTTTATGTATTTAAAAACATCATTCTGAAAAGTTCATAGGCTTCAACTGCCAAAAGTCCATGGCAAAAAATGTTAAGAATTCCTTAAAAAAAAGTCATGCAATGTGTTTCAGAGGAGGAAAAGCCAAAAAAGAAGAGTATCAATAAGTGTCTTGGCTCTGGTCATCTCTCCTTGCTATTTCTAACACAATTCTTATATGCCTGGAAGAGAATAAAAGTTTACTGAAACTTTTTGTCAATGTCAATCTGTTTTTTTAAATGAACACTTGTCAAAGATTTTATTTAACTCATGAATTGTTGTTGTTGTTGTTATTTGCCAGTGAGTCAGCCCCGACTCATAGCGACCCCTCTTTGGGTTTCCGAGGCAGTATCACTACGGAAGTAGGAATGCCCAACCTTCCTTAAGGAACCAGTAATAGGTTAAGACATTTCAAATCAGTTGCCATTGAGTTGATACAGACTCACGGCAACCCCATGTGCGTTACAGTAGAACTGTGCTCCACAGGGCTTTCAATGGTTGATTTTTTTTTTTTTTTGGAAGTTCAAAGCTTTATTTTAAAAAAGGCGGGTGCTCTATGATAGCAAACAGAGATGGAAAAAACAATAACATGCCCCACAACGAAAGGCTAAGGTGAAATGAATAGCTTCAAATCATTGTGATCTTTTCTGAAT